GGGGGAATTTTGGGTGCTCCCTCCACTAATCTCTGCTTTTCTCTATCCCGGCTGGCAGGGCTGAAGGTAAGGCCGGGTGTGGTGGGTAGGGGTGCCCAGTGCCTCCAGCCCTGGCACGGGGCGCTGAGCCCAGCGCTCACCCACACACAGAGCGCCGGCAGCGATGGGGAACTCCTGGAAGTGGGGGAGCCACCCCAGCACCCCAGAGCCTGGGCAGCAGCTGAGGGCATGGTGGCAGAGGAAGAAGAGGAGGAGGAGGAGGAAGAGGAGGCTTTGGGCAAGGACTGTCAGGAGGAGCTGCCGGGGCCTGAGGATCTGCTGTTGGAGCCCCAGGAGGTGCAGGTACATAACACCAGCCCTTCAAACTCCAGGGAGGGTGTGCAGAGCACCCCATATCGCTTCTAGGGTACCCCACATCACTACCAGGACATCCTACACCACTCCCTGAGGGCACCCCACATTGCTCCCAGTGCCCCCTGCCAGGGCCCCATGGCTTGGCTGGGATTTATCTTGCTCGGAGCACCTGGGTGCCCCCCCAGCTCATGACTCCCCACATTTGTCTCACCCAGGCTGGGGGACACCCCTGGGTGCTGGAGGGACCCAAGCGGCCGAGCAGCTGGGGGCCGGGGAGCTGTGAGAAGGTCAGTGCAACCCCCCGGCCCTCACCTGGGAGTGCCCAGACACCCAGCACCCACCCCCCTAACAGCAGTGCTGGAGAGCACCCCAAGGTCCCCAAATCCCCGTCCCTGGTGGGGACCCTGGCGCTACCCAGTGGGGATAGGGAACCGGAGCGTGTTGCGGAGGATTTGCAGGTACTGAGCAGCGAGGAGGAGGAAGAGGAGGAGGGGGAAGGAGCCACCAGCATCCTGCCACCCTCAGTGCTGGACCAGGCCAGCGTCATTGCCGAGCGGTTCGGTGGCGGCAGCAGCTTATCCCGAAGGAGCAGCCTGGTGCTGGAGGGGCCCCTGGGACGCACCCCCAGCCATGGTGGCAGCACCCTCAGTCTGGATGGGGGGCCCCCGCTCGAATCCGGGGAGCCTGAGGGATCCCGCAGTGCCATCCCCTCTCCCGAGCCCTTCACTAGAGCCCGCCGGGAATCGCTGCTCTCCAACCGGGACCGCCTGCTCCTCGACAAGATCAAGAGTTACTATGGCCATGCCGAGCACCGCGATGCCGGTTTCGCAGTGCGCCGTCGCGAGAGCCTCTCCTTCATCCCCAAGGGGCTGGTGCGGAGCTCCGTGTGCCGCCTCAATGGGCTCCCACGGCCCCCCGAGAGCCCTGAGCCCCCCAGCCAGCCCGAGGCACCAGAGCCGTGCCAGGAGAACGGGGAGCAGCCCCCCGAGCCACTGCTCATCCTGGAGGAGGATGATGTGGGCACCGCAGCATCACCTCCCGGGCCACCCCCGCAGCTGCTGCTGACACCCCCTCACCTGGGCACCAAAGTGTACCAGCTGGCACGGCAGTACAGCCTCCGCATCAAGAGCCGCCGCGCCGGCACCCGCCGCCCACCGCTGCCGCCGCAGGAGGACAGGGACCCCCCTCCCAGCACCCCTTCGCTGGCTGTGCCACGGGACGACGCGCTGGTGCCATCGCCATCCCCTCGTGCCCCCCACAGCCCTTCGAGCCCCGTGG